ACCTAAAAAAAGAAATTTTTTATTATACGCTCAGACGGGGAAAAGAGACGAAGCACTTCTAGGACCTTTAGCGAATAAACGGAATGTGAACTGAGAATACATTTACAACAACGAGTGACAGCCAAGTAGGCAGCACGTCTGTAGTCTTGAGCATAAAAAACCTATTAATGATAGTATAAAATCATGTTTCTCGAGTGACAATTAATAATTGTTAATTTTTATAGTTTTATTAAGCACAAAGCTTTGTATCAGCCTTCCGACGAGACACCGACAAACTCAACGAATTCCAGATAGCTCTCAACAATAAGTTCCAAGCCTTACAAGATCTACTCAAAGAAGAGGAAACCACTAAGGAGGACGACTAGAAAGTAATTAAAGAACCACTAACTTCAACGTGTTAAGAAATTCTGGGTCACAAGAAGCATTATCATAAGGAATGGATCTCTATGGAAACCATCGACAAGATTCAAGAAAAAAAGCAGGAAGATAGTAATTAACAACAGTCGACCAAGATCTGAGAAAGTCAAGGCACACGTCGAATGCACAGCAGCAAACAAGGCGGTGAAGAGGATCATTAGAGCCGACAAACAGAAATACGTAAAACATCTTGCAGTTACATTGGAAAAAGCTGCAAGAGAAGGAAACAGACAACTATATGATATGACCAAAAAAACTAGCTGAAACATATAGTAAACCAGATAGACCAGTAAAGGACAAAGAAGGTAAGCCAATGACTGAAACTGAGGAACAACAAAACAGATAGGTAGAACACCTTGAAAAGATCAACCACATTGAACCTACCGGACATCGAAGCAGCACCGAAAGACCAAATCACCACACTACGGATCATTATTAAACAATCAGTTGATTGGAACTCGTCACTATACATCAACTTCCTTGACTATGAGAAAGCGTCTGACAGTGTGAATAGAAGAACCTTCTTCGACACTGTGGAGTGAGTAGCCGAGCAGATATTCAACATCATACGACGAAGTACACTGTAAAGTTGCGCATACAAGACAGCTGACAGATGCATTCCAAGTGAGGACCGGTGTCAGACAAGGCTGTTAACTCTCGCCTTTCCTCTTTCTTCAAGTGGTTGACTGGATTATGAAAACCTCCATATCTCAGGGAAGCACGGAATACAATGGACAACTTGGAAGCAACAAGACGATTTGGACCTTGTAAATGACCTAGCTTCTCTTTTATCCCATACACTAACAAATTTAGGTGAAGACAACCAGTGTAGTAACAGCCTCTACAGCAATAGGCTTCAACATACACAAAGGAAAAAGCAAGATCCTGAAATTCAACACGGAGAACACCAACCCAGTCACACTTGATGGAGAAGCACTGGAGGAGGTGGAGACTTTCATGTACCTAAACAGCATCATCGATCAACAAGGAGGATTGGCAAAACGAAGACAGCATTCCTACAACTGAAGACCATATGGAACTCAATACAACTGTCAACCAACATTAAAGTCACAATCTCCAATACGAACGTCAAGACAGTCCTACTGTACGGAGCTGAAACTTGGAGAACTACTACAACCATAATCAAAAACGTACAAGTATTTATAAACAGTTTTCTACATAAGGTACTCAATGTCCGTTGACCAGATACCATCAGCAACAGCCCTCTGTGGGAGAGAATAAACCAGCTTCCAAGTGAAGGGGAAACTAGAAAAAGATGTTGCAGTTGGATAGGACATACGTTGAGGAAATCATCAGACTGCATTACGAGGTAAGCGCTAACTTGGAATCCTGAAGGTGAAAGGAAAAGTGGAAGATCAAGGAACACATTGTGCCGGGAAACGAAGGCAGAGATCAAAAGAATGAACAGCATCTGAAAACAACTAGAACGGATTGTTTAGAACAGGGTTGGATTAATAGTGCTATTGGGCGGCCTATGTTCCTCCACAAAGAGTTACAGGCATAAGTAGGCAAGTAAGTAGATGTAACCATTTTGATACCGCGACTGTAAACGACTAGGTAAACAACGACCAGCTATATATAGACTCCTTATAAGCCTGTCTTATCTGTCCTCCTCAATACGAAAATACAATCTTTCTCGTTATAAATGCTTGTGTTATGTACAGATACCATGTAAATAACGCAAGAGCCAGAAAGTGTCTTTAGACAGCGGAAATCAAGTTTCGATAAGCTAAATCACCCGGCTGTAATAAAGCAAATGTGTTTTCGTATGCGATTATGGAGCCTCAACATTAAGCACCGAACTCTGACACAGTTTTTTAGAGAAACAGATGATTAGTTACTTTACAGCAATCCAAAATTTAGAAAAAAGTTCGTTTATTTGATAATTTACAATTAGTAACAAAAAAGGATCAGCAAACAAAAAGAAATCTACGGAAGTAAAAATATGTTTCGAAAATTAACAGTAAATAAGCACCAAACATTCAAAGAGAGAACATCCATTGTATTTTATTACAGTTGGATATCACTAGTAAGCAAAATGTACATTAAGAGGTAAACAAGATTACAACACTCACTTTAACGTTAAAGCGATTTTCAAAAACTACTTCGTTTGTATTGTCCATTCGATAAACTACTGCAGATAAACTAACAGCTAAAATTGATTCTACAGATTCAGTAACTTCATTTTCCACTAGTTCGGATGTTTTCTTAGCTATTAGTTGTACATCTTTATTTTTCACTAAAGATATAACAGAGGTAGAATACTTATTTGATAATGAACATTTTGGACCAACTTAAACTATCAGATTCAGTAGGAGACGAATTCTCATGATCATGCATAACTGACAAATCACCTTCATCACCACCACCTTCGCTGCTATTTAAAATCGAAGCTGAATTTGGCAACCGCGCTAGTGAAGATGAACGCGACTCGAACCCAGACAAAAAAGGACTGTTACATGAATCGGCTAAAAACAGATTAAATAAACACGAACTAAAACTCCACTACATTTTTGTCGATTGTTTAAACAAACTGCATCATAATTTGCATTTTTCAGCATTTATATTAGTCAAGGAAATACGTTAATCAATAAACCTTAATTTTAATGACTAGCGGAGGTAGGGATAGCAATTTCAGAAGACTGTAGAAAAGACCATTTTAAGCAGGTTTGTTACAAAAAGATAACTATTTTAGAATTCATGTTATTCATGAATTACAAGTTGCATGCGAAAATGAAACACGGAATAATAGCTTCTAGATCCAATGGATAAATAAATGTGAGGAATAGCACATCCAGATTAGCAGGGGTAGTATAACTTTATTTAATGCTTTTGAAAACATTAACTGTATGAAGCTTTTGGTAAAACCCTATTTCAATCAGAAATAATACGACGCGTGTTATGGTTTGTTAAATCTTAAGAAATAACACGACTTGTAAAAACAAAAGTAACTTACATTTTAGGGGCAGTCATGATCTAGTGCTTGAAATTTAAAATTCTTAACTACCAACTCGTTAGTCCATGGCACGCATAAAAGACAAATAATTAGTTAACTGATGACACGCAACTAATGTAGCTATTAGTTAAGTTTATATTTAGCTTCTGTGAGCTTATAAATTTGACATAACCCTAATTTGAAAACGAAAATAAACCCGACGGATCTTAGTGAATAAATACCTAACCGATTTTAGTCAAGCAGCTCCAGAGAAACTTGCTATACACGTAGATGATTATTGATGGCCTCCAACTATTCCCACTTTCACTGTGTGGGAAATGAGTTTTGCAGAAAGCTTTTAAGTATGCTATAAAAGATCAAACACACAGACAGTCATTGTGATTGATGAATTCAACAGATAATTGCAACAAATCTTTAACTGAAAAGCTATGGAAATCTATTATTTAGTTTATCTAAATCGACCTCAGTACTGTAAAGCGTAGATCTACATGAGCAAAATACCTATTAAATAAAATTCATGATGTACCTTAAATGTTAATCATGTCACACGTTCGGCTTGAAAATCACTACGCAGATATTGTAACGAGTTTATAATTGTAAAGAACATACCCGTATGAAACTCATTGGTTTTATGAACATTCAACGGTTCTGACAAGCGCATTGTTTGATTGGGGACTTTGATGAATAGATCATCAGTATGGCCCAGTGATTTCCTTATTCGGTTGTGCTTGATGTTTAATAATGAAAAAGTTCAGTGATTAAAATCCTTAAGAAATAATAAAATATATAAAAAGTCAATGATATTGTACGACCCCTATACATTGCCTGTGGTGGATAACTGTTTCACGTATGACATGATTCAACTCCATTGATCACGGTTTCTCACTAGAACTTCAGTTATACTTTGAAGCTAGACAATAGTAAACACAGGATTAGTGTAAGTCTGAGGGGATTTGTGAAGACGAATTTTCAGTTTAAATCACGAAATGACCTTAACTAAACTACTATTTAAAACCCAGAACTATTGGAAGTCCATTTTGTCCCAGTACGGGACTCCTGACTATGCTTCATTGGGAATAACATGTAAGTAATCAAGTAAAAAAACAGGACTCCTCAACAGTGCACATTTAAGACCCTGAATCCAGAACCTGCTACACTTTCCACAAACTCACCTATACTATTATAGAAAAATTAACAATGAGGAAACAGAATCGATCTGAACAATGTGATTTACTTGCTCTATACATTTCGAACAACCTGTTCACACATACATATCAAGGTACTTTACATGAAAACTAATAAAGATTAATTAAATAAAAGTTCAAACAAAAGTAAAGTGGTAGTCTTAATCAAAGAAGCTAATTACAACGTCAGCTACAACGTAGGACCGGACACATATATGTATCGGTACAAGTTCCCACACCTCATTAACACAACAAGATGAACACTGGATTCATAAATGTAGTTAATTCAGAGGTGGTAATATATAAAAGAAAGATTGCATATAAGGATATAGTACAGGAAGAATGAATTAGTTCGTAGAAACAAAGATATGAAGCGATTTTAATCTCTTAGTTTAAGGGAAGACAGAGTGTATACATCGACGCCATTGTGATCGATTCTGAGCCATGTCACCACGAGTCTCCAACCATTGGTTACGAGTCACGCGGACCCCAACCAAGTAGTCTGCATCTACCAACATGGCTCAGACTACAAGTTAGTGACTTCAAGCACTGATGCCACGACTTGGTTTGACCGCCCCTAACTTTCTTCCAACCATCCCCAACACCGGTTGGCATTGCACGTCGTGGTAATCAGTGTTCAAGCATACGCAACACGTTGCCTAACCATCTCATTCGATGAAGATTCTCCTCATCAACTGATTTACCATCATTTCCTTATACCCTGCGTCTAACCTCACTATTACTTACCCGGTGATCCCGGCGGATGCCAGCAATATTTCTAAGGCATCTGTGGTCAAACACTAGTAGTTTACGAGTATCTTCAACTTTTAACGGCCACGTTTCGTAGCCGTAAAGTAGAACAGAACAATCTACCGCGCAGTTCATTGTCACATCACTCTGGGTCGTAAAATACCCCAAAGATTACCGGGACAAGTTTAAGATTACGAGTAATCGTTTCTGTACACATAAACAGAGTTCCAATTTGCGAATAAATAAGGCTTCCATAGACTTAATAATTCGTCTTTGACAATCTTCACACATCTTAGAAGCTGTATCAATGTCAATTGTATGCCTCGTTATAATCGTGTTTTGATATCGATGAAAATGCTTCCCTAACTGCAACGTTTATTGGAGTATTTAACGCTAGCTGGCTACATGTTTCATAATATTTGACTGGATTATTCGACTCCTCCCAAAGTACGTGTCCACAAAAAATGAGTTCGAAGGAGCAGTAGAATGCGAGATGATCGTTTGTAAAATGACTAGGCTCATACGGAATCATTGGTTTAGTCTTTTCAATCACAGTTATCCTACAAGCCGTTGGTTGTCAGACCAACAACATTTAACAATAAGTGAGCTGCAGGTCTTGCATTGAAAGGTCGAAGCACCAGATTATTTAAAAGATGGAGATACAAACACAGTAGGAAGTCTATTATAGATATAAGAAAAGTCAAAAGAAGTTTCATTCAATAGATTTAAGTGGCATGGGAGTATAAATTAAAAATAACTTACTGAAGCAGATAACTTAAGACCACTGTTTAGAACACCTAAAGTGTGTTTTGAGCAGGCTGAAACCAGTTCTTGTTATAAATTCAAAATAATTTACGTGTAAGTGAGTTGGAGATTGGACTGCAGTTTAAGCTCTTGAATTCGGATGAATCTGAATTTTCCTTCGATAAATCTCGGAAGTCTAAAGCGATGAAATAAAGTGAAAGCAGTTACCATCTGCCTGTGTAAGACTTCTCTGGTTTTGTGCAGTGTTAGAAGACTCAAAACTGCAGTCCGCAGATACCATAGTGTCAGATACACCAAAGGCTGGTTGGTTTTCAGTGTTGACATCACACTCTTGCGTACGAATATCACCAGGTTTGCATTCCGCTACATGATAAGAAACTGGAGGTGGAGGATCAGATTCAGATGACGGTATAAAATTAGAGCTTTCACATCCACATAATTCAGAATCTGTAGAATCCATTTCGAAAAGACCGCAGCGGCACGAACGTTGTATTTCTGCGCACCTTCTTAAATAGTTCAAATAGTTCTGGACAAAATAAAAGTTTACTCTTAACAGGCTCCCATATCTAGAAATGGTAGATCACTACTGCCTCCAGGTGGAAACCTAGGTAAATTTAACAAAATAAGATATGTCACCGGGAAAGCTGAGTTTTTGTGGCAATTTAAATAATACTAACATTTGTTTCTTTCAAGGATTTGCAGACTTCATTTTTTATCGGACATCATCATCCCCGTTTCGATAATTGTTTCTCTAAGTTAATGCATTCCCGAATCTGTTCAAATTGATATCCCACTTGTTAATAAGAGCTTTTAAAGTCTGTAGAGCATTTCCTACTAACACCCATAGGGTTGAAAGGTAAAATGATAGAGACGAGTTTGTTAGATGGTTCCGTGACGGCAAATGAATGTCTAAAATAAAAAGTCCTCCAAGTCTCTGATATTATTGCAGATCTCATTGGTTTAACTGGACACACCTTACCTGAATGTGCTCGGACGATCATACGCACCAGATCATGACTAGAGTATCTCTTATAACAATCAGTCAGCTTAGATCGTACATTTCTCGACGCGTCAACCAAATATATCTTCGAATCCTTTCATTCGTGACTTTCAATCTGAATAACATTAGATACTCGATTAAAAGTTTTACGGACATCAGTGTTGTCAAGCCCTAAATACTCGTGACATATTAAGTTCTAATGTTAGTTGAGACATATAGGCTACAGCTAGACCACACTAATAAAGATAGGATACAGTTTTTGGTAAGACAGCACTAACACAAGTACTAGAACAAGATGATTTATGTACAGTCGTAATTCGTAGCCTTAAAATGACTGAAGTAAAGCAGTTTTTAGCGGATTTTAGTGTGATAATTTCACAGAGGCTTCAAACGGTTTAACTACGAAATGACCCGGATTTTGTATTGCAGCGGTAAACGAATCCTGAAAATTAATAGCTCTGTAAGTCTTCGATATTCGATGCTCTCTGTCATGCATCCAAGCCAGATCACGAGTTCATGCTCTGTGCTCAACATCTCCTACAGCCGCTGGCCAGCCTAAACTATTCACTTCTCAATATATCGATACTCCATCAAATATATCTCCTCGCATCTAAATTCTGAGTTCACTGGGTTGGCACGCTTCAATTATAGGTGTTGCTGGTTAAGATGTTGTTAAACTCAAAATACTTGTGGCACCTTCAATGTCACACATGTTTCTCTTCTGAATGCCTCTAAGCTGTGATGGAGTACGACATAGTTCAGAAACATTAAGTGCTTTTTCTTAAGACAGAGTTGGTCAATATTTTTTGAGTTAACTGCATTTCACTACTGCGAATATTAGTGTAATCCACTAGTGGGAAAGCGAAATCAAGTTTACACTTACGTAAATGGAATTTAGTGGAAGCACTGATCAACTTGCGACTCTTTAGCATAAGGTGAATATATATAAGTGCAGTTGTGACCTTTACACACCCCTCGGGCATCACAAAGTTATCCCAGGTATGGAAAATACATATCGATTAATGTTCTCTTATAGTCTCACTGAGACATGCAAAATGAATCTTGTATTCATAGAGAATCAATTGTTCGCGATATGAAAGTCTCGAATTTTACATGCAAAGCAACAATTCTTGGCTAGGAGGCAAACCTACGAAAAATAGTGCAAATCCATGGGAGTAACAGGTCTCATATATGAAATGTATGGTTATCCCGCAAAATGTAACTTTGCAATTTCGCTCGGTATTCAAGTCCTTGACCATTTTATTGCTAGAAGTAACACCCAGAATCTGACTGGAAAGCGGATGCAGCTTCCAGGATCGGCTGCCTAGACTAGGTATTCATGCACTGCATTGTGTTGATCTTCAACTGTTCAAAGTAAAGTCCATGTCGTGCGACATGAACTGGCCCATGCAGCAGTGGTCTCACTGTCGCTTCAACCTGATCTTACAAATAAAGTTCCTCAAAAACATCGTGTTTTTTCTATATGGTCATCAAAGTAGTAACGACACCTGGTTACTACGACGTTTTAATCCGCGTTACGTATCAATCTCGAGGCGTGGAGTCTATGTAAGCAAGGAGGACAAATACTTTTCATACAACCAAGTTGTAGTTTGGACACGACGATAACTGCAACTAGGGCTGCAACATTAAGGATGGCCTAAATAATAAGACTTCGGTATCGTTGTAGACCATCCCTGTAAGATCAAGTTATAAAAATGTTGAGTAAATTAGCTTTTTTGGAATAAAAACTGGTTCATTTTAAAAGAAAAAAGACGTCGCTAATCTAGGGAATACATGTCAACTATGGAATTTCGAATTTAAAAAATCATCCGATTATGGAGTATGGATAGTGTGTATAACCTGTTCAAGGTTCATGGCCCAACCCGGCAGTAACAATAACCACTGGAAATAATTTTCAGTCATGACCAATGAATTTTTGATGCGAAAACGAATATACAGGGAGTCTTAAGAATAGGAAAGTAACCAATCGAAAAGTAATTGCTATTTGTTTGACTTATGCTCTACCTCCTTATTCTTCATTGTGTCTACGCAAGCGCCAGTGACGAACCAAACCCAACGTGTATGCCCCAGCCAGTGGTAACTCCATACAATGAAACAAGCGAGATGTTTTCCATACGGACTTACAGTTATAGTGCGTTTCGCCGTTACACGGTACACCAATATATTCAACTCAGCAATAGTCGAATACCAAAGAATCTATACGTTAAACTGCAAACATAGATAGAAGTTATAACTAAGTGAACGTGGTCTGTAGAAATCCTCAAGTAAGCTGACGCAAAATGAAGACCAAAACCGGAAGTAAAATGAGTGATAATAGTTTAATCTGGGCTCTTCAATAAATGCATTTTCTATATAGGGGTGTCAAGAATGACGACCATGAATTTAAGTGTTAGAAAGTGTGCAGCTGTTATACCAAGCATATATGTTGTGAGAGTTTTACAAACAATCAGACTGATTTACCAAACCCAATTAAATATTTCTTTCACTTAGGACGGTCGGTCAAAACCAAAGATATGACACTTCAGCTCCAGTGACGCTTCCCTCTCAAATGTGGATAGTATCGATTTTTCCTGTTAGAACAGATTGAATTGCTAAGCATGTAACACCTAGGAATAAGCCTGCGACAAACCTATGAATAGACAGGTCATAAGCACGCATAAAAGCACCGGCCAGTCATCTAATAGCCGTTTTTCATGAAAAATTCAATATTTGTTTCAAGAGACAAATTTCAAAATATTGAACGAAGAACGAAACGGAAAGTGGAGATTCGTGGCTAAAATTATGAACAAACCAATTCAAAGGCTTGGGAAAACTAGTACGTAAATAACTAGTAAAAATGGTTATATTCACAATAATGGTTTTTAGTGAGTCAAGTACTTCAGGAATAATCGATTACACTTATTTTATATGGAGACTAAATATGCTCCTTTTGTATATCAAATAGAGAAGTTTGTATGTGTTTATAGTCAACATACCAAGCCCTCTATTTCTTCTCTGTTTAGTAGTAAACAGTTGAACCATTTTCTTAGAGCCACCCGATTTTAATACAGATTTGAATAACAGGTTCACTCCATCTGCTCGTTAAGACCACCACAACATAAGTAAACAAATTGTATATTTAGAACAGTCACTCTGGATCCCTATTTAATCATGTCTTAGCCCAAATACCAATGTCAAACAACAATCCAATCTGGCCCAACTTGTTTTTAACAGTTTTAGCCCTCGTCCCAAAAATATTAATTCTCAGCTTTTACTCCAGCTTAGCTGCCAGATATCAAGGTTACAACCAGGATTCTATTTCTACAGAAGAACCTAAAAATGCTAGCTCACGCAATCTGTAACATACGTTTATTCTGGCTCTTTAACATCACTTTAAGTCAGTGAATTTCTTGGTCATTCCACTATTATAACAAGATTGTTTCACTCTGGATTCGGTTTACTCGAATTAAGTAGCTTCAACTCATTGGTGAAGAACAAGATTCTTTAAGAACAAACACTAAATAAGGTTTCATTCAATCCAACGTAATTAACTGAATTGAAGAAATCGTCTAACACACAGAGTTTAAAATGTATAAGCGCAACTGACTGTTGCATGTGACAGTTTCATGGTGTAAATTAGACCTTCCGACAATCAAACACTAGTCTTTGTGACGTCTTTTTTAAAGACTTTTGGTGTGAATGTTGTAGCTGCCCCAAAATGCCCTGGTATGGCCGAGAGCGGGGTGAGTTCGCCCTCCCTCTCGAAATACTCTCACACAGCCACGCGTATACAGCCTCTCTCAGGGAAGTTCTACTCACTGCCTTCTCGTGACATTAGTGTTGTTTACGAAATTGACAGGACGAAAAGCGAATGTCCGGCGCTTTAACCAGATTCTAAACCAATGGTGCACATGGGCTCCAGTATCCTGCGGGAACAAATGGCGTATGAACCAATCGTTGGTCACCGGCTACCATGGGACTGCATCTCCTCACGATGCTCCACTGCCTTGTGGGTTAGACCTTTAGGCCAAAGGCTCAGGGTGTGGACCCCTAAGAAAACCACCGGCTTCGGTCTGGGCACCCTGGCAGTATCACAGCCCACACGCAATTATTGAGCTGAACTGTCTATGATCATGGAAACTAATTTTCTTGCTTCGACGAACATTCAAACGATTCAATTATCATTATTATTATTATTATTATTTACTACGTCATTATTCACCCACTTTTATTCCTACTCTGTCTATACTTACTTTTTTCGACTTATACAAGTGGCGTATGAACCAATTTTCGGTCACCTGCTACCATGGGACCGTATCTCCTCACGATGCTCCGCTGCCTTGTGTGTTAGACCTTTAGGTCAAATGCTCGGGGTGTGGCTCCTTAAGATAACCACCTTCTACGGTCTGGAAACCCGGGCCGTATATCAGCCCGCACACAGAAACATGATAAACTGTCTACTTGTGAAAAATATTCCGCTCC